TCAAAGTTTTTTGAAATAAAAAATCTCTAAAGTTTTTTATTATTAAAATTAATGAAATTATTTTTGTTTTATAAATTTTCAAAAATTTTTCAAAAATTTTTGGAAAAATTTTAATAGGTGAAGATCTCTATCAAAAAAATTTCCTGATGAAGAAACTAAGAAATACACATATATAGATCATACCTAATTTTATCTATTATATTACTACCATAAATCACTACATACAATACCCTGAGTATTAATCAATTTACTTTATGATAAATTAATTAGTATCTGGGGAGTATTCTATTAGAAGAGGGGTAGTATAAATGGTGGGATATTTAGTGTCTTATTATCATCTGATGTATCTCTTACTTGCTCATTTTATTGAATCTAGCTTAATATATCCAGGTAGTAATCATTTATTGAGTAATAATTTTCTTGAATACTACTAGGTATTATTTAAGGGAGGGCATTACTTTAGAAGGGGTATTGTATGTAGTAGTTTACGGTAATTAAACTTTCAAATACAATTTTTTTCTTCTTTGTTATTGACTACTTTTTAAAAATTTTTGTCAATTAACACTTAAAATTTGAATCTGCATATTTTTCAATCATTAATAAACATGAATTTTCTTTTTCTTTTTTTCACCTTTTCTAGAGAATAAAACATTAATGACATTTCAATTATACTGGCCTCTTGAAATTATATTGAATAAACAACAGAGATTTTCATCAATATGTTTTATTGTAGTACAATAATAGTTTGTTTAGAGTATAGTCTCTTTAAATGGATATATTTTTTTATTCTATTTCAATAAAATAATTTATTTCTGGCTTTTTTTTAAAAAAAAAAAATAGCTCAATTATATATAGAATTTTACTTTAAAAGTATTTCTTTTTCAAAGTATAAACTCTCTTTATTTTGGATTACTGCCATGTATAAAATACAAGTCTGCTTATGTTTTTTCACTTTTTATATATCAATAAATTAAATAAAAAAGTCTTATATAATATTAGTATCTTTTAAACTTTATCTATAGCATAGTTAATAAATTTATATAAAATAAAGAAAGGGGAAAAAGAGAAAAAGGAAATTGCTCAAAAAGAAAATTTTTATAAAGTAAAGAAATATGAAAAATAGTTTAATATATTAATAGTTTTAATTTCAAATTTAATAAATATCAGAAAAAAATAATATATACTTTAAAAACTGTTTGTAAAAAAAAAAGCCTATACATAAATTATTAGATCAATAAAGCCCAATATAAAGATCTTAAAAACAATCAAGGAAGACTATTAAAATTCTATTTTCTTAATAAATCTAAATTAAGTTTTAAAATACTTAATTGAAAAATTCTTAATAAGAATTCAGTTTAACATCCAAATATACATTTAAAAATGAATTATAAAACTGTAAATTCATATGTAAACTAATAGTCAATGTTTTATAAAAAGCTACACAAAATATACTACTAACTGGATTAGCAACAATATATATCGAAAAACGATTTAATAAAGCAATTATAAATAATAACAGGAAGATATTGCAATTAATTAAATCAAATTTTGTTCAGAAAGTCCTTTAATTGGATTGTTGAAAAATGAGTATTCGGGTAAAATAATCATTTGGTTTAAAAGTCCATGTCTACTCCTACGCCCCCTGTACTTCCAACAGGAATATTATTCTCTCTCGTAGTTGCAATACCCATTTGTGCTTGTTCTTCCATCGGCTTCTGCTCTCTAGGTATCACCAATGCTCTTGCGCGACCAAGTTCTTCCTGTTATAGAGGTCCATAAATTAAATACAAATTGACAAAAAAATCCTAATAGATCTGTAAAAACGTACCACAAATTTTTGTTTAAGATAGCTAACTTCGGTAATCAAGTCGTTTAGCGCCTTTGCAACCATCATTTCAGGTTTTGTATCAGCGGTAGTTTGGACCTTTAACACAACATTGTATTCTAAAGGATGAGGAACTTTATATCCAGCGAAAGTGACTTGCGGTTCTTCCAAAAGTTTGCTATTGTCACGGCAATGTCAATAAATAGCATTATACAAAATTTAAAAATTTGGCCTTTACTAGGAATATATGTAGTACCTTCGGATCAAATTACCCATTGTGTGATCCTCCCTTAAAATATCGAAAGTTGCTCCGTTTTCAACTTTGGGATCTGGTGTTATAGTCATTCTATTAGTAAAAAAATATAGATATCTGAGTACTTTAGATTAATTTATTACAAACTTGTTGAAAATTAATAAGTTTACTTCTTTGTCCCCTCGGGGAGACAAAATTGTTCACCACGATCTGGCGCGTTCATTTCCGTCAAATTTTTCTAGAAGTGAAAATTTTTAACTAATATAACTATTTATAAATAAATTCACGTGACATCGAATAAGGAATATAATTTATACTGTAAATATAGATAAACAAATGTATATACAGTATACCGTATATATATATATAATTTTTTAATCATGTCACATGGTTTAATTTTTTGAGAAGTTTATAACTATTTACAATATTATAGATTTTTCATATAATAATTAATTTATTATTGTACTAAAGTATTCTAAATTAGAAAACACTGCAGAGCAAAATATTGTTCCCAAGGTTGAACTTAGAGGCTTTTATGCTTATAACAAGTTAGTTAGATTAGAATAATAGTTTAGCTGTAGTATGTATTATACAGCTCAAATGAAAATGTACTTATGTTTTCAATTGATTAATAAATTGACAATTTAGTATGGCTATGGGTGCTTAAAAAAAAAAAAAGTACTTTAAGTTAAAAAAAAAACTCTTTTCCTGATCCTCTGACCATATATAAAAAAGATGTTTGCAAGAAATTTTTACACTTTTTTACTAATAAAGTCTTAATATTTTCCTTAAAACAATTTGAAGTATAGCTTCAAAAGTTATCTCTATCCTTTTCTTTTTATTTATAAATCTTTTCACTCAAAAACTTGACTTCTAGTAATTAAGAAAAGTCAAGTAACACCTTTGATTCCAATAGTAAAAAAGTTTTCAAAGAAAGAAAAACTAATTATGAAGTACCTGAAGATTTATTTAACCTTTGAAGCAAGAGGTTTATAGAAGTTTTTTGCAATAAAAAGATTTATTTTTTTCTTTTTTTTTGACTATCTTGATTCTCTTAAAGCTTTTACTTTCATGATTTTCTAGGGAATTTTGTTTATCTCAATTTGACCCTAAATTTTGGATAGCACAAATCCTCATCAAGATAATTGGTTGATATGAAACACATTAATTTTTGGAATGTAAACAAGTTTCTATTGATAAAAATGGGTTCCTAAAGGATGAGGCAGGGACAAAAGTCAAATGTTACTTACTAAAAAACATTAAAATTTTAAATTAATAGCTATAAAAAAACTATCCACAATTATTCTCTATTATCCAAATTATTGATTTATAATATTTTTTGACTTTTGTTCCTATTAAAGTGAAGAGCTATGAATTTTGTCTCTCAAAAAGGAATATACAGTAAGTGATCTGCAAAATTTTATATATTAAATATTTTATTTATTTATTTATTTTTTTTTTTAAAACCCTCTGTCAGGCTAGGTATATATGTTTTATTAAGCATATATATACTTTACATTAATGATTATCACTAAAACTAAGTTTTTACCTAATTCACTTGTCTCTATTTTAAGAATTATTAAAACTCTAAGTATAACTTTGAAAGTAATTTATTATTATGTTAGCAGTTCAGATAAAGACTCTTCTAACTGTTAACTTCATTGCCTGTAGATCATTACTGCAAATTACTCTGTGAGGTTCTGATAGAGCTTAAAACCCAACCATTTTATCCTACTGTATACTCTATTTTTTTTGTTAAAATTTTTAGAGACCTTCATTTTTAAGGTTTTCTTTTTCAGGTAATTGATTTCTTTTCTTTAAGGGTATGATTTTCTGACCTAATAGACATAGAGGTCTTTTCATTTTGTCTTCTTTATTAATTCCTTGTGTTCGTTCCCATTTGATTATCTTTTTATATCTCTTGTTTCAGGCTTCTTTTCAGATTTAGTTGCAGACTCTTTTTTGTATTTTTAATATTTACTTTCTTGCTATTTTCCTATATGTTTACCTTGACATTTTAGATCTACCACTTCTAGAATAAGATCAGTTCTTATAAGGCCAGTATAGAAACTTAGTATATTCTGACTTGTTTCAGAAGTCTGTTTCACTACTTTAACGATTCACTTGTCAAACTCTTCTATTTCTTCATAGTCATTAATAATTAGCCTAAAATTTTTTTCTTCAGCCTCTCTCTTTCTTTCCCACAATAACTCTTTAAAGTTTCTAATAATTCTACCTATTCCTTTATTCCATGCCTTTTGTAATTGATCTTTATAGACTGAACATTCTAGTAGGTGTTTTATGGTTTTATCTTGTTGACTATATGCAATGCATTTTACTTGCTTATATACAGTAGATCTGGTTTTTTTACAGTCAACTTACTTAAGATGAGTAACTTGTCATTGACCAGTTTAATAAGAAAGTTTCTTTGTTGGGATTGTTTAAAAGATATATTCTACATGTGTCCATCCTTAACCCTTTCTCATATTAGATCCCATATGTGAGCCTAGTGTTTTGAAATCTGATGACTCTATTTTTCCTCTATTCTATTTTGGTATGTCCATTGATAGGCTATTGTCTTATTATTAATATTCCTAAGGAACTGCCTAATTGGATCATCTAGTGTTATCCCATACCACTTGATTTTGATTATAATTTTGTATAAAGTGAGATCTTTCCATTCAATTGATGGAAATTTCAGGGCTTTCTTAGCTAAGGCATCTACTTTTTTCTTATGAGAGTCATTTGAATATGTCTTGACTTTTGTAAGCTTTAAATCTATGTTTTTTTTTTTTATTAGTTTTACTATTCATACCCATAGGGATCAATTTTTTTCTTTGAGTCATCTCTTATGTATCCTTTTTGGATCTTCTTTTTCTAAGGATTTCCACTTAGAAATACATACTTGACTATCTGTAAAGATCTTCACTATGTTTTCAATTGGGACTATCAGGAGTATTGTTATGATTGTTATCAATTTTGCTCTTGTAGATAAGGGCCAATTGTTTACTTCTATTTGGAACTTGCTTTCTTTTCCTTCTTTTCCTATTTGGATTCAGACTGTTCCTATTTTCATATCTTCCTTTCCATAATTAGTAAGTGATCCATCAGAATAAAAGATTAGTTTTTCTTTAGATTCAAGGTTATGTTGAAGTATATCTATTAGGTGATCTTGATATATTCCTTCTCTAATATGTTCTTTGATAATAGCTTCTTTCCAGGTTTCAATGTCCATATGATTTACTTTATCATTTTGGATATTTAAAGGGCTTTGGTTGCTGTAAATCACTTCTTTGATTCTTTTTTCAAGTTTTGACTTGGGGTTGGAAATTTTTAAGTCTCGAGTTTTTCTAGTGGACTTTCTTGTATTGAGATATAGTACTACATATATTTCTCCTATTTTTCTTTCAAGGATACTATCACTATTTAGTGTTGTGCCTTCTAAATATCCCAGACATTTTTGTATATTGATCTCCTAATCATTGTTGAAGTTATAACTGGTAAAGTGCTCTACTATTGTGACATTTCCCTTTTTTCCTTGTCTTAATTTTTCCCATGTTACTTGATTTCTTTTATTTTCCATCACTATCTACAATTTTTTCTGCTTGTCTTGATTAGGATCTATTTTTAAGTATTCTGTTTCTCATTTCATATAATTTTTTTTTTCAGATCTTATAAGCTGCTTTGGTTGTTCCTTTTGAAGATTTTTGGTTATAATTTGAAACCATTCTAATATGGATCCTTTACTTGTATCTTGTAGGAGCTGAAGCATTTGTCAATCTTTTATTTTTGCAGTTTCCTGATTGATTAGTTAATCTAGGTACATCAGTCAATTGTTTCTAAATGATGGTATGGCTTTTTTGTATTCTTTCAGTGCAAGATATTTTCTGATTCAAAAGTTTCCCTTTTTCCATTTAAAGATATCTTGCCATTTTCAACTATGAAATGTTATTCCCATATTCTTAGCAATTTTGGTTACTTAGAGCAGAAAATTTCTTTTGTCTATTAGATAACTTAAATATTTGCAGGTTAATAAATTAAGTAGTTTTCAATTTTTAATCTGTACTTGTTTGAGTCTGATAATTGTTGTAATTCTTGCTGGTTCAGAATTATTTAGTTTGTTGCAAAGTCCTGTTACTTGGTTTTCTTTTTAAAATATTCAAATAATTTTCAAGTTATGGATTTTTGGATAGTGGATTATGCTATTGGATATTGATTTATATAAACTATTCTTATTTTTGAAAAATTTTCTACATACTATTGTTAAGATGTTACATATTTTCTAGAACAATATACTATGTTGCATTCTAAATTCTATTCTAGGTATTAAAACTTTATTCAGAATATAGAGGGCTTGTTTGTCTGTCACTTTTTTATATTCAAGGGCTCTTGTTATAATGTTGATTTCTTTAAGTACTCATTTTTTAAACTTAATTGCAGTTTTTTGATTATCTATCCAGATTCTTAAAAATCTAGCCTGTTCTGTTTTATCAAGCTCTCTAATTACTTTTTCTTCAGTACTTGCCTTCATTTCTTTTAAATAGCAGTTAGGATTGTTAATAGTAATCAAGACTAATTTGTTGCTATTTATTTGAGAGTTGTTGGCTGTATAAAAGATTCTTGCAGTTTTTAAAATCTTTTTTATATTCTTTTTAGATCTTGCTATCTATATTGTGTCATCTATAAAGGTTATAACTATATACCTTGATTCTAATCTTCTTGTAGTCTGTTTTTTAAGGTCAGGTTCTATGTAATTGATATTTTGTATCCTCTTTGTATATCATTCTGCATTTTATATAAAAAAGGGTCATAGAAAATTCTCTATAGTAAAGGTGAAATGGTTTTCTTTTGATCAATTTTATCTCTGGCTACTATTGATTCTATAAGATCATTCTTAAACATAACTTGGAATTCACTATTTTGAAAAAGGCTCAGTATAATCTTTATGAAACTTTTTGAAGTTTTGATTCTCTCCATTAATTTTATCAACATATTTAAACTAATTGTATCATATACTTTTACAATATCCTGAAAAAGTATTCACAGTTCCTTTTTGTTTTCTCTGACATCTTCACAGATATTATTGAAAATTTGAATTGGTTCTGCTATACTTTCTCCTGGCAGTCCTGCATAGTTTGATTCTCTGAGAAACTATTGTTTTTACAAATATTTCTTATTCTGTTGGTGAGAATTTTGATAAAACATTTTTTTGTAACTTCTAATAGGACAATAAATCTA